GGCTCCTTAGTCGGGAGTCCGTGTTGAGGCCTCATCCGTAAAGATTATTGGGTAAGGTTTCGTTGGTACATTTTCGTCATTAAACAGTCCTTTGTCAGTCTTCTCCCCCAAGGATTTTTCGGCAACGGTTCCTTATCAAGAACTCCTTTGTTTAGTTTCCTTATTGAGGATTCCTTAGCAAAGAATTTGTATTGAGGACGCCCGTGTAAAAAAAAGGTCCTCATAAAAAGGGCTCCTCAGTGCAGATCCTTTCTAATCTGATTCCTGGGTAAGTAGTTCCTAAGTGAAGCTTCCGGAGTAAAGGATTTCCGATTTCAGCTCTTATCAATGATTCCTTCGTGTAAGGTTTCTTATTAAGTTTTCCTCCGTGAAGGTCTTGCGCGCAGGATTCCTTAGAACAGATCTCTCATTCAGTATTCCTTTACTAGAGATTCCTCAGTAAGGGTTCTTTAGTACATATTCCTTACTATGGATTCCTTATTACAAATTCCTTATGAAAGTTCCTGAGGCCGCATTCCGCGTCGAGGATGTCGCAGCGCACATTTCCTTTCTAATAATCTTTTAGAACGTATTCGTCTCAAGGGTTCCTTCATGGAGACAAGATTTCATATTGGGGGCCCTTTGGTGAAGGTTCGGCGCCGAGGGACCTCGGCGAAGATGTTTCCCTCAGGATTCCTTGGCAATTATTCCTTAGCATGGGTTCCTCAGTGGATTACTTATAAAAGAGTCCTTACGAAAGATTCCTGAGTACAGATATCTGATTGCGGATTCCTCAGTGAAGATTCCTTGTGAAGGATTCCTTAGTCTGGATTTCTCAGTAAGGATGCCGTAGTGCTGATTCACTATTTCCTTATCACGGATTCCGCAGGGTCTTCACTATGGAGTTTTTCCTTCAAAACGTAGGTGGGCCAAATGAAAGTCTAGCCGTGACGTGTTGTGTACTCTGATAAGCCTCGCGCTGGCGTGTGCCGCTTTGCGTTGCACCACGCGGTTTGCGCCTATGACGACACACAGAAAGAAGGTATGGAGAATGGCAGCGACAGTGGCCAACCACGCGCCCACCAGGTGGACATGGAGGGCTTTGCACTGGCAGCCTGACGCACATCGACAACACGGGCGCCAGCACAAACGCTGGGACGACGAAGTTCTTGCACACCTACGACGGCACAGGCCGGACCTCCACCCAGCCCCGGCTCCAACGCGCGACACGGGGCAGCCTAACGACCTCACGTGGGTTCGAACGGCCCAAGACACCACCATGTGGTATAACCTCGAGCACCATCACATCAACACGTGAACGAGCATCACGCCGACATCGACGTCAAGGTTCCGACTCCAGCTCCGACTCTGGTTCCCAGTCTTCCGACCCATCTTATCTCTCCGATTCTGGTTCTTTTTTTGGATCCCATCTCTCCGACTTCGGCTCCGACTTCAGCTCCCAACTTTCCGACTATCCCATCCCATCCTTCCGACTCCAGCTCTAACGTCAGATCCCATCTCTCCGACTCCCATTCCGACCCCGGCTCACATCCTTCGGACCTCGGCTCCGAATCGGGCTCCCAGTTTTCCGACCCATCCTGTCTCTCCGACTCCGGCTCCAACGCCGGATTCCATCTCTCCGACTCCAGCTCCGACTCCAGCTCCGACTCCAGTTCCGAAATTTCCGGCTATCCCATCCCATCTTTCCGTTTCCGGCTCCAATGCCGGATCCCAACTCTCCGATTCCCGTTCCGACCCTGGCTCACATCCTTCCGACCCTGGCTCCGACTCCGGCTCCCATTTTTCCGACTCCAGCTCCCATCTTATCTTATTTCTCCGACTCCGGCTCCACTCCTGGATCCCATCTCTCCGACTCCAGCTCCCGCACTTGCGATTGCCATGCGACCATACGAGTGTGAAGCCGTGAAGCATCAACGACGGCATCACTATCCACGATGCGCACACAACGACTCCGACAACAAGGACACCGAAACATGGACGGCGCTCGTGCACCACTACGTCGACCCCACGGCAGCAGACACCCAGAACCGAAGCCAATGACGCGAACGCCCAGCGAGACATCCCACGCCGACACCGACACCAAGGACTTCCTCCTCTTCCTCCCCCCTTCCTTTCTTTCCACACTGGCTGCATTTGCCCGTGGCTGACGTGTCCGCGGGCGGCTCGGGATGGCCCCGAGGGGGCCGCCCCGGCGCCGCGCCCCCCCCCCCCCCATGGGCGGCTCGAGGCGGCCCCGTGGACGGCCCAGGATGGTTCCCGAGAGAGTTTCGGGAGGCCCGATATGGGCCTCCATTCCCTGGGGCCACAGACGGCCCCAAGACGGCCCCGAGAGGCCATCCAGTCAGCCAAGAGGGCCTTGCAGCGGCCCACGAGAGCCCCACGAAGGCTCCATATTGCCAGGGGGGGGCCCAGGATGTCAGACGGGCCCGCAGCCATGGGGCGCGCTCAAATGTTGCAGCGCCCCCCTCTCCTCCTGCTTGGGTATGTTTGCTCGCCGCGTTTTTCCTCCGCCTCCTCCTCGCCCGCCTCCCCCTCGCCGGTCAGCACAGCCTGCCCGGATGCAGCGTGGAGGCGCGCAGGTCTGCAAAGCAGGCAAGCTGCGGGGGTCGGATGGCAGCGACGGGGCTTGAGGCCCTGTCGGGCTCGTTGGATTTTCTGGTGGCCGGCGCGTTGGGCTTCCATTTTTTGGTGGCCGGCGACGGGGCCACTGAGGGCATAATCAGGATCAGATGCATGCAGCCCAAGACCTTAGCGCCAGACGTGAGTTGCCTCGCGTCAGCGAGAGAGCCCTGGCAGCATCCCGTTCTAAATCCAGACGGAACGAGCTACCTTGCAAATCAAGCGCCAGGGGTGTTCGAGACGCTCGAGACATCGGCGCTCTGCAGCTCGCGCCGTGGGCCGCCGTCGCACGAGCGGTCTTGGAGACGGCGGCTGGCAGGAGGCTCGCCCCCGAGGTTGCGAATCCCCCGGCATGCTCGTGCACGGCTGCCAAGTGCAAGGGGTTTGCAGACATCCCGGAGGAAACGTGCTCGCGGCCGCCGCGTTCGGTCTCTAGGCCGCGGGGGCTGGTGTTCTGCGCCGACGAGTGCGAACCAGGCAGCGAGCTGCAGCAGCTGAACAAGATATTGTAGAACGTTTACTTCAACGTCCTCAATGTTGGGCCGTGGGCGCCACGCAATGAGGATGCGTGTCTCTGCCCGACCAGTTTACGGGCGCTGGGCAGCGGCCAGTTCGAGGGTGGCATGGCCCAGCTGATGGGTGCACGGCTGAAGTCGACGTCGCGTGATGGTCATGACCTGAGGCTTTCGGGCATCGCGCTGGATCTACCTTCAGGCGTGGGCCCGAGAATGCGCGCCAAGGTTCTTGTGCCTCCTCGGTGATGAATCAGGGTTGCAATCCATGCGGATGATCATAGGGTTCCCAAGTGCCAAGCCGTGTCTAAACTGCGTCAACGTGGTTAACAAGGGGTGGACTGGCGTTGATTTCGCTGAGGGCTCTATGTTCAATGATTATGCGCAGGTCCATTCTTTGAGCGAATGCGTCCAGCGCACCAGGGAGACCACCTTCGCCGTGATGGGTCGGCTCGCTGCATACGAGGCCGCGCTGGGTGATGAGGAGAGGCTCTCTATGGATGGACCCATTCTCGCCGCTGCGTGCTCCACGACCGAGTCTTGCGACCGCAACTGGACCCAGCGCGCCGGAACACCTGCGACTGGGCCCGCACTATATTGCATGGGCTCCTCCAGCAGGCCACGTTTTGGCTCGCGAAGGAGTTGGGGGCCTCGCGCATCGCCGCAGCGCGCTTCCAATCGTACTTCGAGGGCTTCGCGTGCCCGGGGAGTTTCAGCTCCAAACGAGTGACAGGGCAGGCGATGCTTTGCAAGAAGAGGGCGGCGACGAGCTGGGAGGCCGCGTGCGTCGAGTGCTCGGCGTCAGAAGCCCCATCTGCTCGCGGCTGGCTCGCCCGCTACTGCAGGTCTGAGATCGCGGCGAGAGGTCTTCGCGTGCCGGCCCGCGGTGCTTTCGTGCGTTTGTCGGCCGTGGTTCGCATGCTTTTTCGTGGCCGCCATGTTGGGGCTGACAGGTGATGGCCCGAAGCAGCAGCTGCCGATTCTGCAGAGACTTGTGCTGCAGCGCTTGGCGCGTCCGATTTCAATAGAAGCCCGCGGGGTGCTCCACCACTCGGAGCGCATCCGTCGCTGCGGTTTCCACCCAGACATATTAGTACTTGTGCTATGTGTGTACTCTCCCGCCTCAGGGGCGACGCTCGCGCTCATACATTTTATAGTACATGCGCGGCGGCGGGCGCTTTCTGGCCATACCGATTGGATAAAGATGTGCTATAACCTACCTAAACGATCACCCTTCGGGTGATAAGCAGGTTGTTTTTTGGGGGAGAGGGGGGGAACCAACACCTGATCCAATCAATCTCACCATCGATCTCACTCAACGGGACACCACGGGACACCATTGGCCACGACGGGACACCACGGGACACCGCGGGACACCTCTCGATCTCACCATCGATCTCACTATCGATCTCACTCAACTGGACACCATGGGACACCACGGTACACCACGAGACACCACGGGACACCTCAGGACACCACATCGATCTCACTGTCGATTTCACTTTTCGATCTCACTCAACGGGACACCTTGGGACACCACGGTACACCACGGGATCTTGTCGATCTCACTATCGATCTCGCTATCGATCTCATTTTTGGGGACACCACGGGACACCTCGGGGCGCCACATCGACTTCAGTATCGATTCCATTATCGATCTCACTATCGATCTCACTATCGATCTCATTCAACGGGACACCACGGGACACCACGGGACACCTGTCGATCTCACCATCGATTTCACAATCGATATCACTTTTTGGGACACCACCAGACACCACGGCATACCTCGGGGCACCACATCGATTTCAATATCGATCTCAGTATCGATCTCAGTATCGATCTCACTATCGATCTCACTGTCGATCTCACTATCGATCTCTCACTCAACGGGACACCACGGGACACCACGGGACACCACGGGACACCACGGGACGCCACGGGACACCGCGAGCCACCGCCGGACGGACGGACGGACGGGCGGGCGGGAGAGAATCATTTGTCTCAACTTCGCCCTAGCAACGGCGGACACCACGGGACACCACGGGACATCACGGGACACCGCGGGACACCGCGAGCCACCGCCGGACGGGCGGGCGGGCGGGCGGGGGAGAGTCATTTGTTTCGACTTCGCCCTAGCAACGGCGGGTTCATTCCTCTCGCGCGCACACCGCGGGACACCGCGAGCCACCGCCGGACGGGCGGGAGGGGGAGACTCATTTGTCTCAACTTCGCCCTAGCAACGGCGGACACCACGGGACACCACGGGACACCACGGGACACCGCGGGACACCCCGAGCCACCGCCGGACGGGCGGGCGGGCGGGGGAGAATCATTTGTTTTGACCTCTCCCTAGCAACGGCGGGTTCATTCCTCTCGCGCGCCCACGCAGTGCCGCCTCGCGCGCACGCACGACACGAACGAAGCGAAACGATTTCCCGGTTGGGGGTCTCCGTTCCATTGCGATCTCACTCCCCAACCTCCGATTTGTGCCATGTGTCCCGTCCGGACGTGTCCCTTAAAGGATGGTGCATAGCGTTAGTAAGTCCCTTTGCGTCCCATTCGGCTGCGAAATCCGAACCCTACCCTCGCCGATCAACGATTCAGGAAACTCGATAGGCGGCGGGGTAGGTTTCGGAATTCGTCGAACATGTGGCGGAATCCGAACCCTACCCCGGCTTACCATCGATTCAGGGGAATCGATGGGGCGGGGGTAGGGTTCGGACTATGCCACCTACCCCTGGAGGTCTTCTGGAGTTCCCCTGGAGGTCTCTGGAGGCCTCTGGAGGCCCCCGATTCGACATCGGCAGGCGTCGTCGGCGCCGCGAGGAGCTCTGCCCAGCGGGGGGATGCTGGCGAGTCGTGCCAGGTACACCTCGAGGTTTCAGGTCCGGAGGCGCGTTGCAGCTGGGCTACCTGCAGTCGGACCTTGGTATGAGGGCGAGGTCGGTTTTGGGAGGGTATCCTAAGGTTCTTCGTGTCCGTTGGATGCTCTTGTGCATCCTGGGGGAGGGTGTTCTTGGAGGCTCTGTGTGTTTTAGCTGGCGGGTCCCCTCGTCTATTTGAGGGATGTTCTTTTGTCCCAGGTTCGACGGTACCCATCGATCCCGGGTCTGGAAGGGTCTTGAGCAAAAGTTCTGCGACCATGCCGGCTTCTAGTGGACTTGGCCATACGTCGGCACGTTGTCGCGGACTTTGCCGCGGACTCCGGCGCATCAACATGTGATGGGCTGGGCCCCCCTGCGTGCTGGCCCAGGGGCCAGGGCCCCCGGGTCCGCTGGATGCGCGTCGTCCGTCCGTCCGCCCGGGTCCCGCGAGGAGTACCCGGCGGAGTCGCACCCGTCCGTGCTCATCGTCAGCGGCCCTGGCAACAACGGCGGCGACGGCCTGGTGGCGGCCAGGCGCGGCCCTGCCTGGCAGGAAGAAAGGGAGGGAGGAGGATGGTTAGGAGGAAGGTTAGGAGGAGGATTAGGACGAGGAGGAGGAGAAGGAGGAGGAGGAGGAGAAACAAAGGCAGTGTTCCACGAAGCAACAACGAAATTAGCCAATGGCTCCCTGGGCAACGAAGACTCTGCAAAGGCAACATGTTTACGTCATGGAGTAACCCCGTGTTCCCGACAATAAATCATACCCCCCCTTAACCCCCTCTATGTTATAATTTTGCTCTTGCGGCTTCAGGTAGAAGGGGGGCTGCGCCAGCCGCGGACGTCTTTGGGGGGTGGAGTTCGGGTTTCGGCTTCTCGGCCAGAGGTGAGTAGATTACGGTGCATCTGAGACCCACCAGAGGATTTGTTAACTCGTTTGTTTGTGAAACGTGAGTAGGTTAGCTCCGACATCATTAATCCCACTCAGTTGGATAAATGATGCGGACGAAGCGCCGAAAGTCATCAGGGTGACTTTCAGCACGTTCTGAAGTTTACCGCAGGAAGGCCCACATGAGAGAGCGAGCGAGGCATGTGGCCCGATTCATGTATCAGGAAGCGTGCAAGCAGCAGACATCGAGGATGCATATTGCAATGCTGCTTGCCCGAGTCGCCGTTTGACTCTGCCAGGTTCTCTTTCCCGCAGGCTCCCTCCCGCTCGAGAGGCAGAGACAGCTTTGCATTTACAGGCATTAGCGAATGCGCCGTGCATTTGCAAGGCCTAGAGGTGTCATGGTAGTGCCCGCACCTGGTCCACGGAGGCCCTGGGCCCCCTAATCGGCTGTAGGCTGGGCGTGTGCCATGGTCGAGCCGCAACGCGGCGCTGCGACGCGGCAGTGGCTTGGGGCCATTCTGGGCGCATGCGCCGTGCCAACGAATGCCTGTGGATGCCGCGTTCCACTTGGTGTGCGCCGCCACGCGCCCAAGACAGGTCTGAGTCATTGATTCTTCCGTGCGCAGCAATTCCGGGACATTTGTCCCGGACAAGGAAGACAGGAGCGAACGCTTGCGACTGACCGTCCCCGGCACCCTTCTACGAGGGGAGATGGGAGTAAGCACGGTGAGGTCGATGCTTAATTCGCGGTCTTCCTAGTCGCCGCCCAGGGTCCCAATGACGGGATCGGGCGGCGGTGTTCCAAAATTCAAACTCGACCACCACCTTAACCACCCAACTGGTCGCCCCGAGGGTCATGAGTCCGACGGGAACGCGTGCTAGTTATTCCGAGTCTCTCGACTACCGCCGGACTTCCCGAGAGGCTCCACCACAACCCAAAGACGAATCAATAGGATTTCATTGTTGAGAGGGGCGCGGTGGCCGAATTTGAGAATCCCCGGGGGAAGTTGCGAATCGAAATTGCTATCATTTCATGTCGACTAGCAACAACAGCAACAACGCTGAGCATGGCCATGGTGGTCTCATATCAGCTTTCGCAATCACGAGTGTGTGGCAAAGCTGTGGGATTCTTACCATTTCAGTTTGCCCAGGTCGCGAACGTGCGGCAGGGCCATGGGATTCTCACTTCCCCAGCCGTTCCCGAGTCAGGAACGTGTGGCAGGGCCATTGGGACCGATTGGATTTTGATGTTCCGTGCGTTTTTCGACCGGGCAGAGCATTAGAGTTACTTTTTAGCGCATCCCTCGCACGGTTCGTGGCTTTTCCTCCTCCTCCTCCTCCTCCTCCTCCTCCTCTTTTCTCCCCCCGCAACTGCCCAGGCCCGAGCTTCCACGAGTCTCCGAGACTCCAAGCTTTCGAGCCTCTTTCGAGGCGCCGAGCTGCACCTCCCCCAGGGGCAACGATAAGGGGGGATAAGGCACCAGGGAATGCATCGATCCCCAATCGCCCACTGATCGCAAAGAGTGGTTCGATAGCCCAAACCTGCCCAGGAACGCGCGGATTTACGATCGGGCGCGCATCGCCGATGCATCGGCGATGTATGGCCGATTCCAGGTCGATGTTCCCCCAATGCCTATCCCCCCACGTCGTTGCCCCTGAGTGCGTCGTGGGCCTCAGCCATGTCCCGGGCCGCCGAGCGCGCCCAGGCGGCGACCCTGCCCGTCGCGGCCCTGCAAGGGGTCGCGAGCCCGAGCTCGAACGAGATTCTCGAGCGCATGGCCAAGCAGAACGAGAAGATCCTCGACGAGCTGTCCTTCGTCGCGGACAAGATCTCTATTGCCGAGGTGCGCCAGTGCCACTCGAGCGCGCAAGGCGCCGGCGCAGCAGGAATGCCGGCCTGCTTTTTCAAGGCGGACAGCGTCTCGTGGTCGGTGCGCGCCCGGCAAGCCGTCCTGGAAATGGTCCGCGACGGCGGTTCTCTCAAGAACGTCGAGCGCGGGCGCATTTCCAACGAGAAGGACAACAGGCGCGTTGAGCTGGCGGTGGCGTTGTTCTACAAGACCTACTGTTAGAGTGGCGTTCGCCTCTGCGACGTCGTCGAGAATCGCGGAGGGCCCGCCGAGAACCTCGTCTGGCTCATGCCGAGCTTCAAATCGAAGATGCTCGAGCTCGCCAAGAAGAAGGACATCGAGCACGGCGCCCAGAACGTCCGGCGCCTCACCTTCGGCTGCTGCGCCGAGCGCGTCGGCAAGGCCTTCCCGTGCGCCCCCATCCGAGCTCCTCCACCTCCGCGACCTCGTGCTGCCGATCAACGAGACTTCGAGCCCCTCGAGAATTGGGGCGGCGAGTAATCCTCCGGCGTGCCAGCCGATCAGCTCTTCGAGATGACCCCCCCGCCAGGCCAATCAGTTCGTCAACTGGTGCCGCCAGGGCGGCGTGGTGCAGGGCGTTGACCGCGCGCGGGCCACCGCGCGAGCGGTTGTCGCATGGTGCTGGGGCCTAAGGCGCACTGCCGACGTGGCCAGTGAGCTCCAGGATCGGAACTGCCAGGGCAAGCGCTCCAAGCGTGACTACGCAAGCGCCGAGAGGCAGCTCGACTTCGAGACAATGGCTCTCGACCAGCACATCAAGATGAATTTCAAAGCGTTCGCCCAGATCCACGCCGACTACGACGAGATGACTAGCCAGCGCGAGCCCGAGAGGGGCCAGGCCGACGCGAAGGCCGAGCCAGAGGCCGACAAGTTCGCGCCGAAGAACCCTTGAGAACTGGGCGGCGGCGAGCGGCGAACGCCTGGCGCGCGAGCGCCCCGAGCCAAGCGCTCCCATGATTTTCGCTGCGAGGGTGCCGCGCGAGCGTCTCGAGCTGCGCGCTCGAGCCCCATCTGGTGTTCAAGCTCCAAGCGGGCGTTCGAGCGCGCGCGAGCGGCGTTCCGAGCTGCGGGGTGCTACTCCCCCCCTTTCGCCGAGTGATCCTCGATCAAGCGTCGAGCAATCGTGCAGGCTCGACCCGCCATCCTCGGATCGAGGGCCCGAGGTCTTGAGCCCGAGCATCTTCGAACACCTTGGATCCTAGATCCGAGGATCGCCAGGCTTGGACTCGAAGATCTCGGGTTTGCGATCCGAGGATCGAGGATCGAGCTTCGGCGATCGTCGATCGTTACCGTCGCCGTCGCCAGGGCCACGCCGCCGTCGAGGCTCGATCCTCGGATCGAGGATCCGAGATCTTGATTCCGAGCAGCTTCTAGCGCCTTGGATCCTATATCCGAGGATCGCCACGCTTGGACTCGAACTTCTCGGTTTCGCAATCCGAGGATCGAGGATCGAGCCTCGGCGATCGTCGATCTCCCTCGTCGCCGTCCTCGGGCCAAGACCCACCCGGGGACCTCCCCAGGACCCCTTCCGGGTGTCCCCCGGGGCCCCCCCAAGGAAAAGACGCCCAGGAGGAGGAGGAGGAGGAGGAGGAGGAGGAGGAGGGAGGAGGAGGGAGGAGGAGGAGGAGGAGGAGAAGAGGAGGGAGGTTGTATTCTGACCCGGGACCCCCCCGGGACCCCCCCCAGGACCCCCCCCGGGACCCCCCCCGGGACCCCCCCCCGCCGGGGAAGGGAACAAAGGGAAGGGGACACGCTTTGAGTCAATTTATTGTACTACGCAGGAGGAAGAGATGAAGGAGGAAGAGGAGGAGGAGGCGGAAGGAGGAGGAGGAGGAGGAAGAGGAGGAGGAGGAGGAGGAGAAGGAGGAGGAGGAGGAGGAGGAGGAGGAGGAGGAGGAGGAGGAGGAGGAGGAGGGGGACGACGAGCGAGAAGAAAACGGAAAAGGTGGGAAAGGGAAGGAGGCACGGACGAGAAAAACAACCCATTCCACACGCTGACAGGGTCGGCTGATTTTTGACAGGGACGGCGGGGTGGTGGCGCGTGGCCTGCTGTGCGCAGTCCCACCAGACAGAATGATGGGCATCGGGCGTCGGTTTTCGACAAGGATGGCTGGCCCCGACATGTTTCACGATGTGTGCTGTCGCTTGCGCAGGCGCACCTGACGCACTCTGCGCGTGCCCCGAACGCGGCACACCTGGCGCGGCTGGAGTGTGCGGCACAACTGGCGCACTCGGAGCACGTGGCGCATCTGGCGCACCAGGCGTGCTTGGCACGCTCGGGCCCAATGGGGTGCCTGGCGCGCGTGGCGCCCCTGGCACGCGTGTCGCACCTCGCCCATTCGTCGTGCACCTGGGGTCGGTTTTGGTTCCCAGTAGCTACCCATCCAAAGACGACCGCTGAACATGCTCACGCTCGGGTGTTACTTATTTCTTATGTGGTGGGAAGGCGGGTGGGGTGAGCTCGACGGCTTGCGGGCGGGTGGGTAGCTTGACCTTACCCCACCTTATTTTACCTTACCGCACCTCACCTCATTTTATTTCACTTCACCTCACCTTACTTTGCTTTACCTTACCTTACGTTGCCTTACCTTGCATTGCTTTGCCTTGCCTTGCCTTACTTGTAGCTAACCTTACCGTACCGTACTTTACCTTACTTTATTTCACCTTACCTCACCTTACCTTCCTTAGCATTTACCTTACCTTACCTTGCCTAGCTTTACCTTACCTTACCTTGCCTCACCCCACCCCACCCCGCCTCACTTCACCTCACCTCGCCCCGCTTCTTTTCACCTCGTTTCTTCCTCCTGTGCACACTCCCGGGGGTTGAGTGGTGGGCTAGGCCTCGTCCGAGTTGGGGGGCAGGCCTAGGAGGGCCCCCGCCCCCCCCACGCCTTCTTTCCTTGTGGCCGCAAATCAGGGCGAAAGACATTTTGTGCCGACTTTTGGCCTCCGAGGGCCCCGTGCTGGCCCTGCCCAGTCGGCGGCCCAATCGAACGCCGAACGGGCTTGGAAGGGGGCCGCGCGGGTGCTGCCAGACCTCCGGGAACCCACGCCGTGAAAAAGAACGCCATGGCTGGCGTCGGAGGCCTGGCCCCGCGGGGCGGAGCGCGCGCCCGTCGCCGCCGGCCAGCCACGCTTACCTGCAGGTCGCCCTGGCGCCTTCTCGCCGGCCGCCCCCTGCAGGGGCCCGCCTCGGCCCGATCGGCTCGGTGTGCGCGAGCTGCGGGCGTATCCATGACACGCCTTCGCGGTCTGGATTCAGGGGCGCGATCTCGCGTGTGCGCGGTTGTCCGCTCCGCGCGGGGCATCCGAAAAGCACGCCCGGTGTGCGCGGGGTCGCGGCCCAGGGGCCCGGCTCGATCCAGTCCGCTGCCGATTCGGCGGCGCGCCTGGGGTGGGTGGGCCGTCTCAGAAGGCTCAGAAAGCTTCCTGGCCTTTATGAGAATATTTTAAAGACTTCTCCGAAGCCGCGGAGGGCTTCTCAGAGGGCTGGGGTGCTTCTGGGAACCCCGTCGCCTCCCCCATCTCACTTCCCCCTCGGCGCGCCGCCGACCGATGTTCCGACCTTCCAGTGCGGCCAGATGCCTGCGCGGCGCCGCCTTGCATCCTGGCGCGGTTGGTCCTATTTGGCTTCGGTTTCGTTCCGGTGCAGCCCCGTCCGACGCAGATTTCGATGCGATCTCCTTTCCCAATTCGGTGCTGACTGATCCTGCCTTGTGGTTTCCCTTCCGCTCCTGACGGG